AGGAGGAGGAGGATCCCGAATCCCGAATCGTGTTTCGGCGGTCCCGTGGCCTGGCGAGGGTCCCCAGAGGCGGCAAACATCGACGAGCCTCACGCAGCGGTTCTTGCACGACGCGAGGAGGTGCGAGACCGCCAGGCCAGGACAAGTTCGACGCCGACGCCTCGAGCAGGAGATCGACTACAGACACGATTTGCCCCCAAATTGAAATTTTCGTCGAGTCCACAACAAAGGCGTAGGATGTTCGGACGGCCCTAGAATCGAGATATATCCGTTCTGGAGCGTTCCGGAACTCTTTCTCGGAGCGTTCCGGAGCGCTCTGAAGCGGCCGCGGCGCCCGAGACATCCTCCAGAACCGCCAGATCTCAGCGATTCGACGGGATCCTCGTCCTGGTTCGCTCCGTCTCAAGGCCAAACGACGGAGGATGTTCGATCTCCTGCTCGAAGGCTCGGCGCCGACCGCCGAGGAGCAGAGCGCCGGCGGCGCCGCCGCGGCCGCCGCCCCCGCCAGCGCGGCGCCCGCGGCCGCCCTCGGGGAGGCCGCCCGCCCTGCCCTCCAGCCGCCTGCGCGCTCGGGGTGCCACTCCTGGGGGCTCCCCCGCCCCCTCCCCTCCCGCGCCCCCGCCCCCGCGCGCCCTCCCCTTCCCCTCCCTTCCCCGCGCGCCCCCACCCCGCGCGCCCTCCCCTCCCCGCCCCCTCCCCTCCCCCTTTCCCCCTTCCCCTGCCCCCGCCTCCCCCCCCTCGCCCCCTGGCAGGTCTCCTGCCCTCCCCCTCCACTCAGGCACCCCCGCGCCGACCTGCGCGGCCTGAACGGGCCCCCTCTTTCTCCTCTCGCGCTCTTTTTTTGCTCTTCCGCTTTCGTGCCGCAGTTCGCCTCTGGTGCATCCCACCGCTTGCTTTGACCGGCGCCTGACCGTCTTGCACCACCTGGCGCCCGCGGACTTCGGACTTCAAAAGTCCTCCTCCTCCTACTCCCCAGTACTGATATTTTTTGTTCTCTGCCAGTATTTCCTCAGGCCTCCCGAGGGTTTTCCCGACAGAGCTGCAGTCTGAGCACACGTTGGCCGTCGCGCCATCGTTGCACCACTACCACCACCACCACCACCACCACCACCACCACCCCCACCACCACCACCACCACCACCACCACCACCACCACCACCACCACCACCACCACCACCACCACCACCACCACCACCACCACCACCACCACCACCACCACCACCACCACCACCACCACCACCACCACCACCACCACCACCACCACCACCACCTCCTCCCCACTCCTTCCTGCCTCCTTCCTGCTGCCCTTCCTGCTGCCCTGCTGCCCCATCCAGGTCCGCTACGACATGCGTGCGCGGGCAGAGGGCGTCAGCGCCCTGGGAAGGGATGGGTGAGAGGGGTCGGATGTCAGATATGGCGTGAGCGCAGCTAGCTTTAGGTCGGGTGTGTCCCCCCACAGGCGGGTTTTGGACGACAAATAATCAATAATCAAACACATACAAAAGTAGCCAACACATAATCAACAAATCGTCCCCATATTATTTTTGTTTATTGCAAAGGCTTTACGGCCAGTGCTGCCGACCCTGATAATGACGAAGATGAGAACGAGGGGGGGGCAGGGGGAGAAGGATGAGTGGGAGGTGGAGGAGGTGGATGAGGGAGGAGGAGGGGGGAGAAGGATGTGGAGGAGAAGCAAGAGGAGGAGAAGGAGGCAGAGGAGAGCAGGAGGAGGGGGAGCAGAGGGGGGGGAGGAGGAGGAGGAGGAGGAGGAGGAGGAGGAGGAGGAGGAGGAGGAGGAGGAGGAGGAGGAGGAGAGGAGGAGGAGGAGGAGGAGGAAGAGGAGAGGCCAGAGGCTTTCTTGGGACAGCCTGGGGCTCTCTTGAGGCCGTCTTGGGCCGTCCAGGGCTCCTCTTGCGCCGTCTCGAGGCACTCTTGGAGGCCTCCTGGGCAATTTGGGGCTCTCCTGGGCTGTCTTGGGGCAGTTTGGGGGCCCCTTGGGAGCCTCTTGGGGCCTCTTGGGGCTTCTTCGGGGCCTCTTGGGGGCCTCTTGGGGCTGAGAGCTCGAAATGTCCGTTCGGGTCCCCCGTCTGGGCACTCTCCTGGAGCCGTCTTGGGGGCCTCTTGGGCCGTCTTGGAGGCGTCTTGGGCCGTCTTGGGGCCCTCTTCGGCCGTTAGGGGACCCTCTTGGGGGCCTCTTGGGCCGTCTCGGGGCGATCTTGGGGGCCTCTTGGGCCGTCGTGGCGCAACATCGCCCCCATTTTTTTTCTCGTTTATTTTTGAATATTCCTCCGGTAGAGGGACATGCCCGACTTAAAGCTAGCTGGCCCCCTAACTCTCCCCCCTCCCTCTCCCTCTCCCTCTCCCCCCCCTCTCCTCCCCCTCTCATCCTGTCTGGTCTCTCCCGAGCTGCCCGCAGAAGCTTCCGCGTGAGCGTTCTCTTCTCTTCTCCACGCGGTGTGCGGCGCGTGCAGTCCCCGCGTGGGCCGTGGCGTGAGCCAGTCGGGCCCTCGTGTTATGATGTTCCAACCTACTTTAGCCTTGACCACCAGAAATAATTTCGAGCACCAAGAAGATACCGAATCTGAAGGGTTTTCACGGGTCGGGCCCTGGGAGGCGATACTCGTTCGACATTCTTTTGATACTTTTCGGGGTGCCCGAAGTTCCCCAATCAGAGCTTGCCTCTGTAGGGGTCCTAGCGGATTCATATGGTTAGGTTAGGTTTGTCGCCGATTTTCGCTGCACGCCGGGGTGCCCGGGTGCCCGGGGGTGCCCAGGGCCCGGGTGCCCGGGGGGTGCCCGGGGGTGCCCGGGTGCCCGGGCGTGCCCGGGGGTGCCCGGGGGTGCCCGGGGGTGCCCGGGGGTGCCCTATAGCCCTCTAGCCTTACAACTCTATAGCCCTATAGCCCTATAGCCCAATAGCCCAATAGCCCTATAGCCCTACAACTCTATAGCCCTATAGCTCCATAGCCCTATAGCTCAATAGCCCTAAAGCCCCATAGCCCCCTGGCCCTATAACCCCGATTGGGTTTTTCTCCGGTATCATGATTTCTGGGATGGGGTCCTTAGGTACGATGGGAACAGCATAACCCTCGTGCGCAAAGCCCCTTCTCTTCGCGCTCCCTCGGCGACACTTCGCTCACGTCAGTGCTTCCGCGAGGAGCACGCCCCAGCTATGTTGCTGACTGACGTCGGGCGGCCTCGAGCAATCCAGTGCTTCCATGCCCCAGCCTCAATTGGTCGCTTGCTCCCCATCCTCCAGATGCACGCTTCTGCTGATTTCGAGGCCCCGCAGGTCAAGAGCCCGTGCTGCTACCGCTACCACACCACCGTGACAGCGGCCGCTGGAGGAGGAGGAGGAGGAGAGAGAAAGAGAGAGAGAGAGAGAGAGAGAGAGAGAAAAAGAGAGGGAGAGAGAGAGAAAGGGAGACTTAGAAAGAGAGAGAGAGAGAGAGGGAGAGAGAGAGAGAGAGAAAAGAGAGAGAGGGAGAGATAGGAATAAAAATAAGGAGAGAGAGATGAATAGAGAGAGAGAGAGAGAGTGCCTGGGCAGTCGGCGTGCAGCCTTCCTGCAACCCTCGTCACAATTAACCTCAAAAATGTCTGATGTGGTTGAACTGCTTGTCGGAAGATCTGGGGCCGAGTATCGAGGAGTGCGGGGTACTTGCATGCGCCGCCCCTCCAATGTCGGTCGACGTCAAACTTTCGTCGAGTCAACTTCGGTCAGACTATCTTTGCCCTCGCCCCGACATTGAAGGGGCGGCGTGTCGACACTGAGGGGCGCGCCGACATCGACATGACGTGCCAGCAACTGTTGAGGTTAATTTTGACGAGGGTAGTGGGCATGGGGGAGGGGAACACAGGCTCAGGTTCCCGACCCTGGAGGAAGGTCGCGAGCCTCCTCCCCTCCCTTCCTCCTGCTGCTGCTGCTTACCCCTTTCCTCCTCGTCCTCTTTCTGATTGTTCCCTCCTCCCCCTCTCCCTTATTGATCCTTTCTTCTTGCCCCTCTCGTCGTCGTCGTCGTCGTCGTCGTCGTCGTCGTCGTCGTCGTCGTCGTCGTCGTCGTCGTCCTGTTCCCCCCCTCCTCCCCCTTCTCCTCTCCCCTCCTCCCCTTCTCCATTCTTCTCCCCTTTCTTCTCTCCCCTTCCTCCCTTATTCCACCGGCCAACGAGAGACTCGAGGACGCCACTCAAGAGGTGAGAAGTTGGGACACTGCTACGAAGTGGACAGGAGCATTGGGATGCGTAATTACCTACAAATTTACACCACTACTGGGCAATGGTTTTTCCCTACCTAGGCTCTGCCTAGAAGGGTTCTTACTGTCTTAGCTTAAAGGGGCCGGGCAGTGGAACTCGCCCCGGGCGGTTCCCCCAGTCCCCTGGGAGCGGTTCCCCCAGTCTCCTGGGAGCTTTAGCTTTAGCTTTAGCTTTAGCTTTAGCTTAGCTGTAGCTTAGCTGTAGCTTAGCTTTAGCTTAGCGTTTAGCTTAGCTTTAGCATAGCTTTAGCTTAGCTTTAGCTTAGCTCTAGCTTAGCTTTAGCTTAGCTGTAGCTTAGCTTTAGCTTAGCTTTAGCTTAGCTTTAGCTTAGCGTTAGCTTAGCTTTAGCTTTAGCTTAGCTTTAGCTTAGCTGCAGCTTAGCTTTAGCTTAGCTGTTGCTCAGCTTTAGCTTAGCTTTAGCTTAGCTTTAGCTTAGCTTTAGCTTAGCTTTAGCTTAGCTTTAGCTTAGCTTTAGCTTAGCTTTAGCTTAGCTTTAGCTTAGCTGTGGCTTAGCTTTAGCTTAGCTTTAGCTTAGCGTTACTGTTACTACTAATGCTGCTTTCCTAGGGGTTCCAACTCCTAGGTAGGGTCGCACTGGGATAATTTGAGGGAGGAAGAAGAGGCTTGTGACGAGGGCATTTGGCACAGCTATCCTTGTCTCCCACTCCACTTCCACGGAGGCGCTCCGATCGATCTTTATGCCGCCCACCAGAACTCAAGGGAGAGCAGCACGAACACGTATCAAGTCTAGGAACTTCGACTTCTGTTTTCTATCAGTCTGCTTTGTGCCGGCACATGTGAAGAGCCGCCCAGCAATAACCAAAATGGTAACAGACTGGGTCGAGACAGCATGTGACAGAACTGCTAGTCGAACTGCAATCGTCATCGGGGAAGACATCAACAGCCAATTTGGGCTCCACAGGGCCTCCGACGAAATTTCCGTGGCCATTTTGGCTCACGCAACGGCCCTAAACCCAAGCCCAAACCCAAGCAACTCAGAAGTACCACGCCGCGTGTGTTACTTCTTTCGGGCAGTTATCCTAGGGCCATGGGTGAGCTAGCGCCATGTCCGTCGGTTTGGACGCCCTGTCCACCATGCTTGATCAGAAGTTTGAGACGCACCTGGCCCCGATTTGCGAAGAGGTCAAGGAGATCAACGACAAGGTCGACGCTCACGACAGGCGCATCTCTAAACTAGAGGAGGCGCTCTCGTCAGGGCAATCCTCTAGTCTCGTCGCTACCTTCATCGAGATCCGAGGCATTTGCGAGTATAAGGAACGCA